GTAAATGCACACATACACATAGATGCACACAGTGAATGCTGGATGGTGGAAGCATGCATGCATTTTTCTGTGAGGAGAGGGGTGGCAGAAATATATGCTGATTCATGCTGATATCAATATTTTCTTGGACAGGCCCCTTAATAAAGATAACTGTCTAGTGTGTTTAACATAGAAGGAAATATCTGCAAAAATGTAATATAATATTTAGTATTATATTTATTATTGGGTATGTTTTCATTAGTGAATAATCACCTGAATATAGGAACCGTCGCCATGGAGTCCACTATGCTGAACCGCCATGTTTCTACAGTAGCCCAGAACGGACAAACCAAACACTGGCTATAGTTAGGGCCTGTATTTTCTGCTAACTTTGCAGGTGCTGTAGTTTCTCCTGCACACTTCACAGCCAGTTTTTATTCCCAGGTTGTCGGATACTGATGCGAGCTGTGTCAGTTATTTGCATTCTACAACTTCACCACTAGATGCCACTAACTCCAACACACTGGTCCTTTAACTCAAAAACATTACGTTATTTATATGTATTTATATTGTGGCACATTAGTGAACCATTGAATAAAAATGTGGCATTACAAATACATAATTAGTTTTATTTCTAAATCTTGAGACAATTTTCCAAATATATATATATATATGGCATTTTTACTTTAACTTAAGCCTATCGCTTAGTCTAAAATGTGCCCATAACGTTAATTTCTATTTTTTTAACAAGTTATTTTTAAAAAGAATCAAAATGAATGTGTTAAGTTTGCCAGGCATTCTGTAGGGATGGTTGCTACCACCCATTGCCACACCTCTAGATCCCCTGTAGACCTGCCTGTAAATGTAAATGTCGATATGATAATATAATATACAGTATATGTTTATGTGTGTGTGTGTGTGCCTATTGTCATTGGTGGAGCATGTGAAGAAATTTGGACTCTACCTGTGGTGCTGATGCCATCTGTTTGCCAGTGAGGGGCCTGAAGACATGCATGCACACACACACACACACACGTACACCTATACACACACACACACACACACACACACACACACACACTGCCCATGGCTGCTATTCCCCAGGGCCCTTCCCACAATACTGTGCCATGCCTGATTTTCCAACACATGAAATAACTATAAACAGGCTTTCCCAAACACACACATGCACAGACACACACGTACTGTACATGCACACATATACTACTGTTAACGGCTGTCATCTAGTCTAAATATGAGTTGGCAGCTCAGTAAGCAGAGTTCACCCAAAGCTGCAGTGGGATATTCGCCAATAGTGGCATACTCCCTGCACACCTCCACACACCCATATGTATGTGTGTGTGTGTGTGTGTGTGTGTGTGTGTGTGTGTGTGTGTGTGTGTGTGTGTGTGTGTGTGCATTAACATCAGAAACTCTTTTATGATTCTCAAGAAACAGAAGCATGATCAAACATGATAAAACAGAGTTTCAAAGATGAAAATAGATGAAGAAAAAAGGAGAGGAAAAAGAGGAATAAGGATAAACATTGATATACACACACTTAGAGACGAAAATGAGCAAGACGAAGAGACAGAGTGGCAGAACAAAGAACAATACAGTTAATAGACAACGTAAGAAAGAGAAGAGAAGAGCGCAAAAATGAGTGAGACCCAAAGAGAGCGTGGAGGGGGGAATAAAAGACAAGTGAGGGAACAAGAGGGGGGCAAGACAGAGTGATAGATAGGGAAAGCAGGGAGGAGAGCAAAAGGGAGAGAGGAGGTAGAAGTATAGATCTATATTCTGTCCATACGAGTGGCCTCTTCTCCCTCGGTGACCTTTGGCTTGTCACTCATAATTAATACAAGATGTAAATGGAGACCTTTCACCTTCTCATTGATATGGAACACTCTGTTTGTGTGTGCGTGTGTGAGTTTGTGTATGTGAGAGAGGCTCATTGACATGGCATAGACTTATTTTGGTGGCGGTCATTTGTCACACCGTTGCCTTCACCACATGCGCTCCGTTGTTTAGGGATACACAAAGAAAGTGAAAATGAGGAAGTTCTGAGCAAACTTGTAAGCGAGTGCAGGCTATGTAGCATTTAGTAACATTTGTGTCTTTACTTTGTGCATGCTCAGCCAAAAATTATTTTTGATATAGACACTTGAAAGGACATTTTGAAAACTGGGATTGGTCTGTTTTTGACAGCAGAGACTACAGCTCAAAGGTTGGAGAGGTCACATTTAAAGACAGAGTGGGTGGGTATGTACGGAAGCCGAGAACGGCCATGGATTTTTCTTTTTTTTATGCGCTGTTATCTCGTGATAAAGACTTATTATCTCGTTTTCTCGTTATAACGAATTAATTTATTTCGTTATCTCGATATAACAAAGATCGTTTTCTCGTGATAACTAATGAATTAATAATGTGTTCGTCTTGATTTCAACCTACAAGAGCTGCCATGAACGGCTTCTGTAGCCACTGGCTGTAGCTGTAGCCTACCGGTAAGTTACACTTTACATTAGTTTGTTTACTTGACTGGAAGCCATTCGTGGCAGCTCTTGTACGTTGAAATCAAGACGAACACATTATTAATTAATTAGTTATCACGAGAAAACGATCTTTGTTATATCGAGATAATGAAATAATTAATTCGTTATCACGAGAAAACAAACTTTGTTATATCGAGATAACAAGATAATAAGTTGTTATCATGATATAACAGTGCATTAAAAAAAAAATCCATGGCCGTGCTCGGCTTCCCTAGGTATGAGGAATAAGGGAAAAGAACAATAGCGTACATAAGGTACGTGCTGTTTAAACCTCATGTGAGCTGTGTTTTTTTTTTATGTTTACAAATTAATTGTTGTTTTTCCCATAGCGAGTTCAAAAGTAGTTTCTTATTTAATGTAGAAAATGGATTGTAAACCCAAGGAATATCTTTCTTTTTTACAGAATCCCTTAAGAAGATATAACCAAAGTGACATTAAGACTTACTTAGTTAACTCTTTTCTCTCCTTAATGGTCACTAATCCATCCCTTCTTTTCTTCTCAGAATTTCTTAGTTGTGTGGATGAATTGTTTGTGTGTGTGTGTCTGTGTCCATTTGGTGTGTGTGTATTTGTGTGTGTATTGATCTCAGGCTGGGCTGGGAACCCTGCTCTGTGCCAGCTTGGCTGATTAATGGGGTCGTCATGGCAATCGGACGGAATGAGGGTACGAAGCGCAGGCGGCCTGCCTCACTAGACCCCTACGCACCGCCTGGCACACACACAGTCTCACACACACACACACAAATTCACTCTCCATGCTTTACACCTTTCTGACAGACATGTTAGTCACTCAAACATCCCTGTCAAGTTGCTTTCTTGCTTTGTGATTCCCTTACTTTTAATTTTTCTTTATATTTATCTCACTTCTTTTCTCCCTTTGTTCTCTGAAATTTCTTCCTCTTGGTGTTCACTCGTTGCTCTGTTTTTCTTTTATTCTCATTCCACCCCTTCATCCAGCTTTTTTTAATACAGGGCAGTTCACAGGGACTGTTTGCATTTCTGTTTGCACTGGAAATTCAAGGGCTTCAGTGGGCAACTACAATTACACCTTTATCTCATGCACCTGCCTGCTCACATCTTTCACTGCCTTTCACACTTTTCTTCATGTTCTCCCTCCTCCTCAAGTCTTCATCCACACCCTCCCATTCCTCCCTCATTCCTCTGCCTACATCTCCTTCCACCCCACCCTAATTTTCCACAGCTCTTCTTTTCCATCTGCCATCTTCTCTCACTATTTACATTGCATTTCAACCTTCTTTCACCTCTTCCACATTTAACTCTTCCCTACATCTCCTCAATCTTCTGTCTCTTCCCTGACTTCTTTTGCACCTTCTTTCTGTCCTCCCTTGCATCTGTCACTGATCTTTTTTCCCCCCATCCACTTTTTTAATCCTCCTGCCTCTTCTATTTTCCTCCCTACCCTCTCCCCCTTTCTCCTCCTTTACTTTTCTGTCCTTTCCTCCCTCCCCTGGCTCTTCCAGATGTTACACTGTGGCCCTTGGGATCACTGGTGAAGTTAGACCATGTGCATATACGTGTGTGTGTTTGTCTGTGTGTGTGTGTGTGTTTGTGTGTTACTCTATGTGTATACATATGTCTGAATATGGTTGCATGTGTGCCTGTGTGCATGCATAACATGTTTTTGTTTATGTGTGTATGTTTGTGTGTGTGTGTGTGTGTGTGTGTGTGTGTGTGTGTGTGTGTGTGTGTGTGTGTGTGTGTGTGTGTGTGTGTGTGTGTGTGTGTGTGTGTGTGTGTGTGTGTGTGTGTGTGTGTGTGTGTGTGTGTGCTGTATTAATACATCCCATTGATCAGAGCAGGACCCCTGACAGTCATCATCCCTGAGAACCATCTGGCCGACGCCTGACGCTCCCTCACCCAAACACAAGCTGACACCCTATTAATCTGCTACCGCCATGCATACATACTTGTGTGTGTGTGTTTGCGCGCGTGTTTCAGTGTGTGTGAATGAATGAATCAGTGAGAGTGTGTGAAAGAGAGAGTGTGTAATGTGTATGTAAGAGGTTATGTGTAGAGTATGTGTTAACATTTTTGCCATGTCCATGTTTCTGTGTACGTGTATGCGTGTGTGTATGTGTACGTGTGCACACACATATGAATGTGTACACACACCACTCCGCCATCCGCCAACAACAGCCGGCGCTGAAGGGAGCTGAAGGGTGCTTGGAAATTAAGGTTATTACACAAATTGAGCCATATGGTCTAAATATTTCAGAGCTGAAATTTACTAGGCAATAAAAATGGCCCCTACCTCGGTAATGGTGTAAATTACAGCTTAACCACCAGCGCTAATGATGTCCTTCTGTACACCCCGTAACCAACCGTACATGAAGGACACATTGTTTAAAAAATACCCCAGGAAAAGCGAGAGGGAGAAAGAGAGGGAGAGGGAGGAAAAGGGAACAAGGGATGGGGATAGAGAGGGAAGGATGAAGCGAACCGGGGTAAGAG